TGGGCAACAGGGCAAGACTCTGCCTCAATAAATAAATAAATAAATAAAATAAAGGGTAAGGTCTCTCCAGAACCCCAAAAAAATGGCCCTGACTGCATGGGAAAGCCTGTCACAGTGCAGCATTCTCTAAGTCTGGAGGAGAGTAAGACCAGTGGGAATGAGAGGCAGAAGGCAAGGAGGCCTGAAAGCACCCAGGGCAGGGACATATCCAGGTGTATTCTGTAGGAGTGACCAGTGGCCACGTGGGTAGTAGGCCGAGCTTGTTTTCCTCCAATATCAGTGTACAGAGCACGGGAGCCTGGAGAAGGGGGTTTCTCTCTGAAATCATGGGTTCAGCTGTATTAGTTTCTATCTAAGGTTGGCATAGCTCCCCTTCCACTTCAGCAAGGACAGCGGGCCAGCTATCATGAGTCTTCTCACCACGAAGAATGGTCTGGGGTGGTGTGAGATCTCGCTGTTGGCCATAATTCCTTCAACATTTCTTCACTCTCTACTTGTAAATTTTCATTTCCTCTGCAGCTGGTAGCTTCTGTCATTTCTTTTCCTATTTATACCAGTCCTGAATCAGCTTCTTTTAACCATGCATATCTCTCCATAGAGGTCATTAAGAATCTCTCTGCTTTCTGCTGTAAGGTTTTTTCTTTTGCATTCTGGTGGAATTTTGGTTGAATGTCATGCCTACATCACCCCTCATCAGTCACCATATGTTGCAAACAAAGAATTTGGCAAACATTTGCCCATCAGAACTTTGGGAGGCCAAAGCCAGTGGATCACCAGAGGTCAGGAGTTCGAGACCAGCCTAACCAACGTGTAGAAACCCCATCTCTACTAAAAACTCAAAATATTAGCCAGGCGTGGTGGCACGTGCCTGTGTTCCCTATTCGAGAGGCTGAGGCAGGAGAATTGCTTGAACCCTGGCGGTAGAGGTTGCAGTGAATGGAGATTGCTCCATCACACTCCAGCCTGGGCAATGAGAGTGAAACTCCATCTCAAAAAAAAAAAAAAAAAACACTTCTCACTTCAGTGATCAGCTTCAACTATAAAATGCAATGTTTTAAAACTTTAATTTCCTTCTCTCTGCAAGCAGGAGTTTCTTATATATCCTTCAAAGATTTCACCTATGATTTTGTTAGTTCCCTGAGTTCAGTGTATTTCTTATTCCAATCATCTTTCCTCAGTAATTGTTCCATGCACCTCTGAAATTTGAAATTTGGTTATTTTTTTCTTATGCTGGTTGGAACTTAGACTTTTTTTTACTCAGCCTTTATTGTGACATATTTTTCTCTCTGAAAATTTTACAAAATGCTATATTAAAACACGTACATTTTTCATACAGTTTTGATTTTCTAGTAGCTCATCCTGTTTCTTTACATGACATTTGGCCTTAGCAGCAAAAATAGGAAGGGGCTTTTCTCCAGGAATCCAATTCCCTTCTTCAGGCCCCCTGACTGTCTCAGCCTGCTCACCTCAAACACAGGCATGTTGTGTACCACGAGCTCCTGAGAAGATGCTTTGCTGCTTTGATCTTCTGTCTAAAATCTCACAGTTGTTGAGAGTCCGGCCGTGTTTTCACGTGGTGATGTAGATCCGTGCAGTCTGTTGTCCATTCCTTGAGGTCTTCTATTCTTTGCAGCAGGAATAGCTTCCAGAATAAACTGGCTAACACCAGCTCCCTGCAGGATAATAATTACAACCTCAGAGAAGCTGGCAGCCCCCAGAAGTGCCTTGAAAGAGCGTGTCAACATCTTTCCTGAAGGTGCAGAGCTTTCCACCACAGCGGGACATCTGCATTTATCTCTAGGCCATTTCAGAGGCCCCGCACGCCTTAGCTCACAGGCTGTCTCGCAGCCTCTGCCAGGGCCTCCAAACCTCTGTATGGCACTTTCATTCTGAGACCTACTTCTACATTCTCTGGGGTCCTTTTTTCTTCCCCTCAAAAGGACTCACAAGAAGAATACTTTTTTCGTTCTTCTATGTTCAAACATATATGTTACCTTTAAAATTGAAAGTCAATGTAACTGGATATAAAAAGTCCTTGGGCACAGTTTCCTCGAAAATGTTATAGAAATTGTTTTATTATCTTCTAGCATTGACTATTGTTTTGGAAAAGTCTGAAAGAACCCTGATTCCCCACCCCCACCCCATGAGAGTGACTTGATCTTCTTTTTTTTTTTTTTGAGACAGAGTTTTGCTCTTGTTGCCCAGGCTGGAGTGCAATGGCGCCATATTGGCTCACCAAAACCTCCGCCTCCCGGGTTTAAGCAATTCTCCTGCCTCAGCCTCCTGAGTAGCTGGAATTACAGGCATGCTCCACCATGCCCGGCTAATTTTATATTTTTAGTAGACGCAGGTTTTCGCCATGTTGGTCAGGCTGGTCTCGAACTCCCGACTCAGGTGATCCGCCCACCTCTGCCTCCCAAATTACAGGCGTGAGCCACCACTCCCAGCAAATCTTTCTTCTAGCTTGTCCAAAAGATTCTTCCTTTATCAAAGAGCTCCAGGAAGTTGACACTTTTTAATCTTTTCTCAATTTCCTGCAAGATGGGGTTTGCATTTTGGTTCTCCTTTGGGTGACTTCTGAGAGAAGCAGAAAGTTTACTTGGTTCTGTCTTCTCCAGACCTCATCCCCAAGACAGCAGTCTGTTTAACAGCCCTGGTTTGCGTGGCAAGAAACAGAGTGCAGACTAGTGGACCAGTGGGGCGGCTCACGCATGTAATCTCAGCACTTTGGGAGGCCAGGCAGGGGGATCACTTTTAGACTAGCCTGGGCAATACAGAGAGACCTAGTCTCTAAGAAAATAATAAAATATAAAAAAACAAACAAATAAACAAACCAAAAAAAGAGAGTGCAGACTAATAATTCAACTCTGATTCCTGGGGAAGTATTTCCTTCTGTTCTTCCATTCTGTCTTAATCAGTTTTCTTAGCTATGTGTTACCAATGTAGACAAACAAGGGTGAAAATGTAGGAAAATGGCTGTAGGAGAGAGAAAGATGATTGCAGAGGAGGGTACATCATCCAGCCCTACTGTGTCCACCACAGCCTGGAGCCGCAGAGTCTGGGAAGGATGGAATGTGGGCTGGAGCTGGCCAAGAGGTAATGATGGAGAAGGAGGAAGAAGGTTTCTTTGTACTTATCTGTAGAACAATCTGCTCCTGCTTCAGGTTAGAGGTCCCTGGGGGCTTTTCCTAATTGCCTTATGTATGTGATTTTTTTTAACCCAAGTTCTGTTATTATTTGCCTGTACTTAGTTTCAGGCAATGTGGAAGGTATAAAAGCCAATGAACTAACTCAAATCCAATCGGGGGTATCAGAATGGGGCAGGCAAGAGCATCTGTTGAAATGCTGGAAGAAATTCAGAACTTCTCTTTGTTTCATATAAAAATATAGAAATTATGCTTTAGGTAGGTAGAGTTCAAAATGACACCGGTGCCCTCACAGGACGTTTATGTTTTGTGGTGGTGTGTCATGAATTGTTCCCCAGAAAGGGAGATCCATAGAGGAGGAATTATCGCTGGGTTTGCTGAGCATATTATCTGCTGTTTGCTCCCCTGACTCACACAACTGGCAAGCAGCTTTAAAGGCTACAGCAAAGAAACTGCAAAGTGAGGATGACATCTGTGATAGGAACACACACGAAAAATAAGGAAATGGCCAAGTTGACACTCTGCTCCTTATAGAAGCGTTTTGTCAAACTCATTTCAGGGTAAGGAAGTCATGAGGAACCCCAAGTTTGACTAGATGTTGGCCAAAATAAAACTGAAGTCATAGAAAACTGTGAAATATCTGATATCATTAACTGTGAAATATCTGATATCATTAACAATGTACCTCATACTAAGTATACTGTGCCTTGGATATCAGCTTATAAGAATAAATAAATACATATAATTTATGAATAAATAAATATACATGTATTGGGAATGTATAACCTCCTTTTTCTTTTGTTAGTAGAGATATACAATGAAAAATCAGTACACCACTGCTCTGATGTAATAAATGCAAAACCTGTACCAGCCTATGATGCAAACTGGGGGCACAGAGCGTAGGCAGTTCATTGTTACTGGCAACTTGTGGGATGTATCGCAGGTAGGTGAGCCACATCATGTAGAATGAGTCAGATGCCCTGGGTGAAGAAGCAGAGAGGGTCATTCTGGGCAATGGGTTACTGTGAGCAGACTCAGAGACTTCAGAAAGCATGTCCTTTTGGAGATCAGTGGGCAGGTAAATGCCTTCTGAAACACACTGCATCTACAGAAGGGTGGCAAATAACACCGGAAAAGTGAGGAAGGAGACCCTTAATCCTCTTAAGCTTCTAAGAGCCCTCCCCCCTAGACTTCTACATTGCATTTCAATAGGAGAAGTAAAGGTTGGCAGAGCCGCACGCCACCCTTGATCACACTCCCATAGATTGCAGGCATGGTGTGGAGGAAGCTTTCTGGAAGGCATTGTTTTTACTTAAACACATTCACACCCCCACCCAAGTCACATACCCTGGGACCTCTTCATGGATCAAGACCCTTTCACATGTAATTTCTAGAGTTGTAAGCCTTTAAAAGGGCAGGGATTTTCTTTGTTAGGGGAGCTCAGCTGTTAGGCATCTATGCCGCGAGAGCTCCCAGCCAAATAAATCACCTGTTCGAGAGGTTTGTTTCACAGCATTTCCTGCTTCAAAGGTAGGTGATGTCCAAACTGAAGGACCTGAATTCTATGCTAGGTATTTGGACCACACACCATAAGCAAGACAGAGTTGATCGAGATGTATGAACAACCTACAGAATGGGAGAAAATATTTGCAAACTATGAAGCAGACAAAGGACTAATATCCACAATTATAAGGAACTTAAATCAACAAGAAAAGAAGAAATAACCTCATTAGAAAGTGAGCAAAGGACGTGAACAGACATTTCTCAAAAGAAGACATACAAATGGCCAACAAACATGAAAAATGCTCAACATCACTGATCATTAGAAAAATGTAAATCAAAATCACAATGAAATACCACTTCACAGCAGTCTTTATTATTAATAAGTAAAAAAAAACAGATTATTAGCAAGGAATGCTTATTTGCTGTTGGTGTGAATGTAAATTAGTTCAGCCACTGTGGAAAGCAGTTTGGAGATTTCTCAAAGAACTAAAAATAGACCTACATTCAACCCAGCAATCTCATTACTGGGTATATACCCCTCAAAAAATAAATCATTCTACCAAAAAGACACATTAGCTCTAATGTTCATCATAGCACTATTCACAATAGCAAAGACGTGGAATCAACCTAGGTGTCCATCAGTGGTGGAACAGAGAAAGAAAATGTGGTACATATACAACACGAAATACTACACAGCCATAAAAAAGAACAAAATCATGTCGGTTGCAACGACATGGTTGCAGCTGAAGGCCATTATCCTAAGAGAATTAATATAGAAACAGAGAATTAAATGCCGCATGTTCTCACTTATAAGTGGGAGCTAAATATTGGGTGGACACAGACAAAAAATGGAAACAATAGATACTGAGGACTCCAAAAGGAGAGAAGGAAGGAGTAGAGCAAGGGCTGAAAAACTCCCTGATGGGTACTATGTTCACTATGTGGATAATCCGGTCAATAGAAGCCCCAAGTCTCAGCATCACGCAATAGAACCTTTTAACAAACCTGCATATGGACTCCCTGAATCTAAAATTAAAATGGAAATTTAAAAAAAGAAGAAGACTGGGCATGTGAAGCCCCAAGAGCTCCGTTTGGAAGCTGCCCTGCTGTTTTTGCGACGTGGCCAGTGATTGCCCACCAGGCAGCTAGAGCCTAGAGGCAGGGGTGTTGCTGCATGGATGTGACCTCCTGGATACACACGTTTTCATTACATTTCATTTAAATGGCAAACAAAGGTCTTGGGCAGATGTCGAAGAGAAGGAGTGAGCTGCGGAGACATTTCCGAGCAGGAGCTGATACGGAGGGTTTCCCCGGCCGGGTGAGAGCCCCGCAGCTACAGCGATGATCTAGCCTCTGCCGTGGAACTCTCAGTGGCTCCCCCGCCATAGTCTCCTGCTTGCGTTCACGCGCTTCCTCCAGGACTTATTCGTAAGTCTGTTGATTTCACAGACCGCACCCTGCACACTGTCCGTTTTAGTATTTCATATCATTTCTTCTCTTTTTGTTTTCTACCAGGCCTAGCTCTGTGTCTAGGACTCAGCGTGCGTTCCCCGGGCTCGACCTCCCCCGCCTGCCTAAGACTCTCACAAATCATTGACGGCGTGGGGGAGGGGAGACTGCCTGTAGCCGGGAAATGGTGCCACGAAAAGCCAGGGTTCTACGCTCTCCGCCCATTTGTAGGACAAAGAAGGCAAAGCTCTTTCATGGAAGCTCGGCACTCTCGGCCGTTCTAACCCGAATTCGCGACCTCCAGAGATGGGAAAACACCCGGCCTTACTGAGGAACAAAGAGCAAATGTTCCGGCACTGCGCCGCGTTCGTGGGCTCGGGGTGTTCGCTGCTGGTTCCAGCCTTTTGTTACCTTGCTGGGCTGGTCCCTGCGGGGCCCACGGCTGCGAAAGGACAGAGCTCTGAGGCTGCCACCCTGCAGCCCCTATGATTAAAGAGCGCCGGGCAGCTCCGCCCGGGCGGCGCTTCCCAGGCGGAGGAGGGAAGGCCTGGGTGGAAGGGGGAGGGCAGTGGAATAGAAGCTGGGGAGCGACAAAGCTGAGAAGGCGCAGATCTTGGCAGATCCCGGGTGCCTCCTCCACTGGCTCCTTTCTGAAGTCAGTATGGTGCTGCCACCCTTTCCTAGCCCCCGTGCCCCGGGCATTTGGCTCTTTTACATAAATGTTAGGCTTGGTAGCTTTCCAATATTTTTAAATGGAGAGCTATGAGAAGAGGTGGTGAGTGTGTGTGTGGGTGGAAATAATGATGGATTTGCAGTCTTTTTCTTTCAACTCCTCTTCATTCAATGGCTAAATGTTGGTTGCCTAGGAAACCGCGTGCATCTCGGCCGTAGAGCCAGCCTTGGGGGCTGCGGGCTGGGTTTTAGGCGGTGAATGCCGGCAAGCAGTAAATAACCCTAATGCCAAATGTCTAGTAATTTCAATACATGTGTCAAAAATATATGTTGCATTACGAAAACAATGCTTTAAAAATTTACTACTATGTAAAACCTCCTTTCTATCAGACTTCCTCAACTAAAGACAATGACTATGTGTATAATAGATAAATGCAAATTCACTTGAGGACGTGCCCTGAAAGTAATCTGAAAATTGTGAAAGCAAATATAATTTTAATAGTTTAGGGGATATCTTGCTCACTTCAGTCGCTTAATAGGTTATGTATAAAACTAATGTTGAATTGTATTTTATGCAGGGATATTTTAACAATTGTCTCTGGAAGGGAAAATCTTTAAATGTTAGTACATCATTAAGACTAACATTAAGAGATCATGAATTATGTTGCCCCTAAATCTTCGTGCCTGATATACGATGACCTAGATTGAAAAGCATTGCATATAATGAATAGACAGAAATGCTGGGGACAGAACTGCCAACGACTTTTTTTTACTTTGAAAGTCGGGTGGTGAAAGTCTCTTCAAGTGAGCTACATGGATTAATAATTATCTTTTTTAAGGGTTATCAGATAAACCGAAAGACTTTAGAGAAAGGAGTGGCTGTTGTCAACGTTTCAACACAAAATCAGCTGCTTGTGAAAATTAAAATGTGCAGCATCACAATTCCAGTGGGAGTGGGGGTGGGTGTAGACGGTTAACAAGAATGGCTGCCCGGAAGGGGCAGGGGTATGGGGACAATTCAAGCAAAACGCATGAAAGGAAAGCAGATCTTGGGCCAGAAACGTCCCCAAGGGCACTCTGGGCTTTCAGAGGTATGATTTTCAGTCTCACCCTATTCCAAACCTCATCGTTTAAAAGAAACCTGAGAGGAAAGAGTCCTTTCATCTGTATGCTCTTGAACACGCGTTTTCACCCGGGTACTCAATGGAGATTTGGCTCTGAAACAGAAGCTAAGAAATGAAACCGTTAGATGAGGGAGGCAGGAGGCGGTCAGCTCAAGTTACCCAGCGTGGAGCTGAGCGCCCCCCGCCCCACTTCCCAGCGCTGAGCATCAGGGTTGCTCCCGGGAGCTCGCAGCAAGGCGGTGACCGCTCCGACAATGTCTTCAGTCGCAGCACCGGTGCCGCCCTCATTCTGTTCCTTCCGGCGCGGCTTGATCCCACCGGAGCCGCCACCTCGAGACTGACACCTGCCACAGCCCTTTTGGCTGAGATCCGGTAACTTTCCCTGAAGTCTGGGGTGCCCTAAAGACGAGATTCCGGTCCGACCCCTGTCCTTAACTTGCTGTGTCACCTTGGGAATTGCTAGCCCTCGACGTTTCGGCATCTGTAGGATCTGGATTAGAAACTCAGAGGTCAGGCCCTGAGATCTGGGAACCCAGAGAGGGGGCATGTGGACAGACCCCCCCCCCCACGTCCCTGCCTGTCGCCGGACCCCACCCTAACCGGGGCACCCCAGCCGCATCTGGAATACCGACCCGCGAGCTCCAGTCTGGGAGCCCAGGATGTTGGGGGATGCCTGGGCTTTTGTTCTCGCTACTTCTCTTTGTATATTGGAATCGACTTGAACCCCCCTCCCACCCCACAGCAGGAAAGGAAGGCGATGACAGCTTGCTGATAGTTCTGGGAGGGTCTCGTTCAACAGCTGCAGGCTCGGCTCCTCCGCGGGAGCCCGGGTCATTCGGCCTCTCTCACCAGGGTATGAAAGAGGTCATTTCACTTCGCCAACGGCCCTTTCCAAGTGTGAGGCGGCGCGCTTCAGTCATCGAATTGCAGGGAACAGGTTGTGCAGTTCTGCCACCCTTTCCCCTCCCACCCTCAACGCACGCAGGATCAGCGTGTCTCTCTCTCTCTCTCTCTCTCTCTCTCTCTCTCTCTCTCTCTCTCACACACACACACACACACACACACACACGAAAAGTAACAAAGAGACCAGCTCCTTCCTCGGTACCTAGAGACTGCGGATTTGAAGGGAGGGTTGGTGCTCCAAGTCTGCGCACGCGCTCGTGTCAGTGTGCATGGGTCTTGGGTGGCCTCGCCCTCGCGGTGCTGCAGTTTTCAGTCTTATTGCCCCCCCTTCAACTGCAGCACGAAGCCTCGGACCTCCAGGCCGCCGCGATGGAAGATAAGAAAGTTCGTTGCTCAGGCGGCGGCCGGCCCTTGGACCCCACCCTCTTACTTGACAATAGATGAACTGAACCCGAGGTCGGGGGGCGCCTGACGTGTGATTTTAAATACTCGGTTGCACAGCATATCCCACGCTTCTGAGAGCCCTTTGTTCCGCCGACAGCCCCGCCCCCGGGACCCCACCCTCTTTCTGCCCTCCGGGCGGTTAGTGCAGAGCCGCCGGCCACTCCCACTCCATCACTTGGGAGGAACAAAAGTCAACCCTCGGGGCGGAGGGGTCCTGGGTACCACCAGGGCGTTGTGCACTCCTGGAAAGGGCTGGGCAGGGGTGAGGGGCTCTAAGGTCACTTCACTCCTGGATGCTACTGCGCAGTGAGAGGAGCCACCAGCCCTAGACAGACAAAGGAGAGGGCAGGCCCAAGCTGGGGCGGGGCGGAGGCCGCGCTGGTACTCTTGGGCCGCAGGTGTCCAGGGTCGCCATCACACACGACTTGCTTCTGGGGCCACCTGTCCTCCCTCAGCCCTCTATAAGACGGGCATCGGCGCCTGGGAAGTCGCTGACTTCCAGGATTGAGGAAAAGGGCAGTGATCTCACCAGGGCGGCTGGCTGGAGGGACTCAGGCCAGTGGCCGAGGAGGAGCCGCAATCCGAGGTGGCCGAGCAGCCTGTGCCACCTCAACCCTCCCACCAGCCGGCACCGGCACCTGACAGACTCTCCACCTGCTCCAGTCCTCCATCGTTCCCATCCGGTGCCAGCTCTGCCCCCACCCCGGTCAGGCCGCGCTGGTGGCCCTCGCCTCGCCGCCCTCTCGCCCTCCTTTTCTTCACCCTTCCCCCATATCCCCATACCCAGACCCCCACCACAGCCCCAGACAATGAGCACGCCCCCACCCTACTACCAGGAGCCCCCACCCCTCTCCCGGTCCGCACGCCCGCTCTGATTGGCCGCGGGCCGGTGGTCCAGCCCCCCGGACGGTCCCTAGGGCTCGGAGCATTACGTCAGCCCGGCCTGGAGAGCGCCAGCGCGAAGGGGACTGGGGGGCTCGGGCTGGGGGCGCGGCTTGCGCCGGCCGCCCCACCCTCCTTGCATAAAAGCCGGAGCCCGCGGGGCCGGCGCTCTCAGCCAGTCGGTTCCCGAGCGCCTTCCCGGTGACCCCGCTGTGGGTGTGTGAGGGGAGGACGGACAGACCCACTAGACGCCGCCGGAGCAGGAGGACGCTGACGAGGCACCATGCGTGAGATCGTGCACATCCAGGCCGGCCAGTGCGGCAACCAGATCGGCGCCAAGGTGGGGGCGCCGCGGCGGAGGGGATCGATGGGGGCGGGAACCTGGGCTGAACGCCCCTCGGGGTTCCCAGGCGCCGTCCAGGGAAGGCCTGGGGATCGCCAATTGCAGACCTTTCCGGCCGCTTTGTGCCGCCGAGGGTGGCGTGGGCTCGGAGACGACTTTCGCGGACAGAGGGGGCACCTCTCTTTCTGCGGTAACTCATTTGGAGTCCCGGTCACCCCTTGGCCTCCCTCCCCGCTGGCTGCTTGGCAGGCACGCGTGCCTGGAGAAGACGAGGGTGTGTCCGCAAGGCTATGCGTGGCGTCCCGCGCGAGGGACTGGGACACGAGAAGTATTCATTTAGCGCTCTTGAGCCCGAGTCGAACTGCGGGGGGTGGGGAGGAGAGCGATTGTCTTGCGGTCGTAGGACGTGCTTCGAATCTAAAACTGCGGCCCTTTAGCTCCTTCGCGTCCCTCTTGCCCTGTTCACCCGTTCCTCGCGGGCTGCCCTTGCCTCCTGCCGCCGCCTGGGGCTGCCACCCATGCGCCGAGCTCAGCCACTGCCCGGCTTTGGCTGGTCCTTCCACCCCCGGACCCCTACCTCCCGCGGCAAGCAGCAGCTGTTCCCCTGGGAAACGCCCAGTTTCAACTTTCTGACTGTGCAAAATACAAGCCCCGCGGCTGGTTCCGGGTCACGGGGCCCTTAAAAGCTCCTGAAATGTTGGGTTTTCGGAACTGAGTCGAGGACATTTCATTGTGAGCCTTGGCGTTTCTGGGGATCGTGCAGTGCTAAAGGCAGTTTTTCTGTCTCAGTTTTGGGAGGTCATCAGTGATGAACATGGGATTGACCCCACTGGCAGTTACCATGGAGACAGTGATTTGCAGCTCGAGAGAATCAATGTTTACTACAATGAAGCCACTGGTAATCATCGCCCTTGCCCCACCCCCACTCCTTTCCGTTTTTTTCTACCCCTCCCCCCTTTCCCTTTCGTGGGATTCCAGGGGTGTGGCCCTGGGAGAGGGTGGACTATTTAATTTAGGAGCCCCACTCTTCCCTGCATTATTTCACTGGGCTTCCTTGTGCCGACAGCGCCCTTTGAGAAACTGGTGGTGGGTCTCCCTTTGTTTGGGGCATCATCCACGTCTGCAGGATGGCAGCAGCCACCAAGCCCTTCTCTGCAGAGTTCCTTGCCGGAGGGTCTAAGTCACTGTTGTTCCCTGCAGGTAACAAATACGTTCCCCGGGCCATCCTCGTGGATCTGGAGCCTGGCACGATGGATTCCGTTAGGTCTGGACCATTCGGTCAGATCTTCAGACCAGACAATTTCGTATTTGGTGAGTGCCTGGTGTGGCTGATGGCATGAGGGCCTCATTTTACATTGGGCAGCTGGGGCTGGAGAGGTGTGACTGCCAGTGGGAACGCGGGAAGAGCATCCACTCATGTGCCGGCTTAGCTTTACTATAGGGTAAAAATGTTTGCCTTACAACTTCTAAGAGCTTGGTATCCCGGCCTTCCTTATTTAGAATATTTACGAAAAAATATGTTAATGTTTGGCCATTTCGATGATAATCTGAAATACTCTTATCTGAGCATCGACTCACTGATCTATATTAAGGGGTTTGAGGTAAGGTATTTAATACAATCACCAGTGACTTAAGATTTCTCTTTCCCTCTGGCAGGCCAGAGCGGAGCCGGGAATAACTGGGCCAAGGGCCACTACACAGAGGGAGCTGAGCTGGTCGACTCGGTCCTGGACGTGGTGAGGAAGGAGTCAGAGAGTTGTGACTGTCTCCAGGGCTTCCAGCTGACCCACTCTCTGGGGGGCGGCACGGGGTCCGGGATGGGCACCCTGCTCATCAGCAAGATCCGGGAGGAGTACCCAGACCGCATCATGAACACCTTCAGCGTCATGCCCTCACCCAAGGTGTCAGACACGGTGGTGGAGCCCTACAATGCCACCCTCTCCGTCCACCAGCTGGTGGAAAACACAGATGAAACCTACTGCATTGACAACGAGGCCCTGTACGACATCTGCTTCCGCACCCTGAAGCTGACCACCCCCACCTACGGGGACCTCAACCACCTGGTGTCAGCCACCATGAGCGGGGTCACCACCTGCCTGCGCTTCCCCGGCCAGCTGAACGCAGACCTGCGCAAGCTGGCGGTGAACATGGTGCCCTTCCCTCGCCTGCACTTCTTCATGCCGGGCTTTGCGCCCCTGACCAGCCGGGGTAGCCAGCAGTACCGCGCGCTCACGGTGCCCGAGCTCACCCAGCAGATGTTCGACTCCAAGAACATGATGGCCGCCTGCGACCCGCGCCACGGCCGCTACCTGACGGTGGCTGCCATCTTCCGGGGCCGCATGTCCATGAAGGAGGTGGACGAGCAGATGCTCAACGTGCAGAACAAGAACAGCAGCTACTTCGTGGAGTGGATCCCCAACAACGTCAAGACGGCCGTGTGCGACATCCCGCCCCGCGGCCTGAAGATGTCGGCCACCTTCATTGGCAACAGCACGGCCATCCAGGAGCTGTTCAAGCGCATCTCGGAGCAGTTCACGGCCATGTTCCGGCGCAAGGCCTTCCTGCACTGGTACACGGGCGAGGGCATGGACGAGATGGAGTTCACCGAGGCCGAGAGCAACATGAACGACCTGGTGTCTGAGTACCAGCAGTACCAGGATGCCACGGCTGACGAACAAGGGGAGTTCGAGGAGGAGGAGGGCGAGGACGAGGCGTAGACGCCCCGCGAGGCGGATTAGGGAAAGCTGAGGAGGAAGGCGAGGGGGTGGGGGGCTTCCCGGGATAATACCCTGGCGGTCGAAGGAAAGAAGCATGGTCTACTTTAGGTGTGCGCTGGGTCTCTGGTGCTCTTCACTGTTGCCTGTCACTTTTTTTTCCTTTTGTAATATTGATGACATCAATGTAACATTTGAGATATTTCTGAATTACTGTTGTAATGGCTAAAATCACATAAACATTTGTGTCGGAATGGTGTCCTCTCTTCTTTCTCTTCCTTTTTCTCTTCATTAGCAATTTAAATATAACTTTCTGAACACATTGCGTTAAATTCTTCCTTTAACAAAAAGCAAAAGCATAGGTCAAAACACAACTGAATTGATTCTTTGGATATGGTAAAATTGAACATACCACAGTTAAGATGAGAGATCAACCTGAGTTTTAAAATGCCTTTAATAAATATTAGTTGCAAAGATTGTCTACTTCAAAGCACACTGTGTCTTCACGTGCAATGCCCACCATGACTTTACCTCCTTTACAAAAAAATGGGTTTTTAGAGTAGTTCCTACATACAGCATAAAATTCTAGAGTGGAAGGTGAGTCTCCCTTTTTCCTGTTCCTTGATCCTCTGGAGGGGAACCATTCTAATCATGGTTATCTTTCTTACATCCATGCAGAAATATTCCATATATTTTCAAGCCCATGTAGAGTATTTCCCTTTTTTCTTCCTTCTCCCACATGATGTAATACTAACACAATTCTGCAGCCTTCTCACTAAACAGTGTATCTTGAACCTACAGAGAACTTCTCCTTTAAATGGATATGTAGCATCCATTATGTAGCTGCGCTGTTTTATTTAGCCGGTTCCCCACAGCATAGTGTCACAATGAATAATTTTGTTCATTTATTAGTGTGCAGATGAGAATAGTTACCTTGTAAATTTCCATATATGGACTTGACTTCTTTGTCAAAGGCATATGCCTTTTTCAGTTAGTCGTATCACCTGCACTTAGGAATAGCTATAGATTTATAAATAGTTAATAGGCTCATTCTCAATTCTAAAGCAACTTTTTCTCCAGGCAGTCGTTTGTACTATATTACAAACTATTTGTACTTATTTTATCATCATTTGAGTTTAGATGGAATTACAAATTCTGAATTGTTGGGGAATTTTACTTTAAGTAGGCAATCAGAATAGTTTTCAGCCTATTGCAATTTTTTTTTTCCACGCAGAAGTAGAATCGGGGATTTGAACCCAAGTCTGACTGGACTTGAACTCAACCACTAAAGAAGCTGCGGAATGTCAATAAAGGATTTTCGGTTAAGATGTTCCTGTGGGATAAATTGCACCTTGTCAAAATAGTGCTGATACTCTGCTTTAATCTGGGCCAGTTAGTTTCTCATTTTGAGAGGAGGAAAAAATGTGAGTTACAAGCAAATGTACAAACTTGTTTACATACCCCTGTAGAAAGAAAGGATCAAGGAAACTAGGTTTAAGATACACAAACTCAAAATTAGAAAATATAAGACTTCAAACCTGACCTTACGTTTATTTTATTCTGCTTGGTCCTACTCTTACTTATATGTTAAAAAAAGAAAAAGGTGTAGAAAGAAGATTTCCATTATTAAAAAGGCTTAAATATATTTGAAAATAGTTACAAAGAAAACTATAAGCTGTATAATTCCAAATAGTGTGAAAATAAGTTAATTCTGCTACTTAGCTCCCATAAATGGAAAAGAGCACAGTTCACTTTATCAAGCGTTACACATCTCTAAAACTTGACGGGCTGGTGAGTGGAGTCAAACAGGTGTCTGGAGCCAGTGGCTTCAGCTCAGTTTTCTATATTTAACTGCAGAGTGGCAGATGTGATTCCTGCTGAGCTGGTGTAAAGCTTCCAACATCCTAACTGAAGGGTGGCATTAGCTTTAAATGTCCCGAACACCTGGGGCAGCTGCCAAGGCTCCCTAGATCTGCCCCTGGGCAGGCATTCCCTACAACCTGTCAGGCACATGTTCGGTACCCTCAGAGAATAGTGGGGTTGTATCCAAGGGCCTCTTGGCATACTGGATGTGTGGTACTGCTCTTCCACCTGGTGAGAAGGGAACAGGCTTGCTAGCCTGTCAGTACAACCACATCTGCACTGCTAAAGCTTATTTTGGCGTGATTAGACTAGTGGGCGCCAAACTGACCTGTCAAGCAGATGCTCTGGGGCCTTAAATGTATACATCAAAAAACAGTTCAAAATGAAGAAAAAGCTCAAACTAATACCTGGATGAAGATACTATTTTGGAACCATCAGTTTTGTTTGTCATGTTACCATTATGTGATGGCATTTGGTGGTGGTGATGCTGGTGGTGATGGTGCTGGTGGTGGTGGTGGTGATGGTGGTGATGGTAGTGATAGTGGTAGTGTTACAATGGTGATGGTAGTAATAGTGATGAAGGTGGTGATGGTAATGGTGGTAGTGGTGATGGTGATGGTGATGTGGTAGTGATGGTGGTCATAATAGCAGTAATGATGACACCAGTAATGATGGTGGTTATGGTAGTGGTGGTGGTGATGATGGTGGTGGTAGTGGTGGTGGTGATGTGGTAGTGCTGTGGTGGTAATGGCAGTAATGACAGTGATGGTGATGGTGGTAGTGATGGTGGTAGTGTTGTGGTGGTGGTGATGGTGATGTTGGTAGTGATGGTGGTGGTGGTAGTGGTGATGGTGGTGGTAGTGATGGTGATGGCAGTAATGGTGATGTGGTAATGTGATGGTGATGGCAGTAATGATGATGATGGTGGTAATAGTGGTGGCAGTGTTGTGATGGTGGTGATGGTGGTAGTGGTAATGGTGGTAGTGATGGTGATGGTTGTGGTGGTAGTGATGTGGTAGTGTTGTCATGGTGATGGCAGTAATTATGGTGATGGTAGTGGTGGTAGTGCTGTGGTGATGGTAGTGTGCTGATGGTGGTGGTGGTAATGGTGATGTGGTAGTGTGGTAGTGATGTGGTAGTGGTGATGGTGATGGTGGTGGTGATGGTGGTGGTAGTGGTGGTGATGGTGGTAGTGGTGATGGTGGTGGTAGTGGTGGTGATGATGTGGTAGTGTCGTGGTGATGGTGGTAGTGGTGATGGTGGTGGTGATGTGGTAGTGCTGTGGTGGTGGTGGTAGTGGCGTTGATGGTCGTGATGGTGGTGATATGGTAGTATTGTGGTAGTGATGTGGTAGTGGTGATGGTGATGGTAGTGATGGTGGTGGTGATGGTGGTAGTGGTGATGATGGTGGTAGTGGTGATGGTAGTGGTGGTGATGGTAATGGTGGTTGTAATGTGGTACTATTGTCATAGCAGGGGTGGTGGTGTTGGTAGTGGTGATCACGGTGGTAGTGGTAGTGATGATGGTGGTGATGGTGCTGGTGGTGATGTGGTAGTGTTGTGGTGGTGGTAGTGGTGGTGTGTGTGTGTTTTCAACATTTCCCAAAAAAATTGTTTTATCCCTCCTTGATGTGGCCTGAGGAGGATATTTACTTTCAGGCAGATACAATACCCAGATTACAAGACCCACTGAGGTGTGATGCGTGATTCAGAGATTGCAGTTAGGGAAGGGGAGTTGAAGTCACCCTGAGGTCATTTAGAGAGTCTGAGAAGAAACTAAAACCTCAGTGTGCCCTAAGTTGGCCTGCACCTCTATATCAGCCTCAGGGATAATCTAAGACTATGTTAGATTTTCCATTTTATCACCAAAAGTGATTGATATTAGTTTGATAGCAATTTGAACAAAAATCCCCTTGAGAGATTATCTCTCATTTGGCCTCCTTGGTATGTAAGTAGGGAAATTGAGGATCAGAGAATGATTTAGGATCCCGGTACACTTTCTGTACAAATTGGGTCTTTCACCCCTGTGCTGACTTCACAGCAGCTGCATGGCTCAGGTTCTGCTGTATGCAAAGCCACATGAGGATCACGAAGAAGGGAAAATGATTTCCCGGGTATCAAGGAAAACCTGAAGTTGTGCCTTGGTCCCACTCAACTTTCCCAGATGGGTTGGGCACAGACATAGTGCCAGCCTTTTGTCTGTAATGAAGTCACTGACAGGTGATGTTGAATTGCCTGGTTTTAAAACACCACATACACAATGCTCTAATGCAAATATGGTTACAAAAGGGACTATTCTACCAGGGGTTAGTTATTGTGAAAATAAGTAGGACGTTAAGGAGGACTGGAGTGGCCCTTTTTTCAAATCCCTAATTTAGTTAAGATGTGGCTTGGCAAACTGCTATAAGGCGAATTCTTTCTGGTGTGTAAGAGATGACCTACTGTGAGGTCATGCTTTTCTAAATGCACTTCAAAGTCAAGCCGTTCCCTTGAAAAGAGACTCTTCCATACTTTGTTTTTTAACCACCTCCTTCCTGCCTCCCCACCTCTCGTGTTTCTCTGCAGGTGTGCTTGCTGACACACACCCAAAGAAGCTTGTTTCACTCAAAACATTTCACAGTCATTTTTTTGTCTTTTAATTGAGATACAATTTGCATACCATAAAATTCACCACTTAAAAAACTTTAAGTCAGTGGATTTTAGTATATTCACAGAGTTGTGCAACTATATCACCAAGTCCAGAATATTTTTATCATACAAAAAAGAAACGCACCTATTGTCAGTCACTCTCCCTACGCCCCTCCCCCATCTTCCACGCCATTCCAAGCCGGGGAAACCACCACTCTTTCTGTCTTTTTTTTTTCTTTTTTTTTTTTAAAGACGGGGTTTCACCACGTTGGTCAGGCTAGTCTTGAACTCCCGACCTCAGGTGATCCGCCCACCTTGGCCTCCAAAGTGCTTGGATTACAGGCATGAGCCACCACGCCCAGCCTACTCTTTCTGTCTTTATGGATTTGCCTATTCTGGACATTTCATATAAATGGAATCATTCTATTTGTGTGTCTGGCTGGGCCTTTTCCTTTTTTCTTAGCATATAGTTTCAAGGGCCATTCATGTTGAAGCATGTGTCACTGCTTCATTCTTTCATGGTTGAATACTATGCCATTGTAGGGATAGACATGTTTTGTTTACTCATTCTTCTGTTGATGGATATTTGGGCTGCTTACACTTTTTTGCTATTAAGAATCAAGTTGCAGCTGGGTGCAGTGGCTCATGCCTGTAATCCCCGCACTTTGGGATGCCAAGTCAGGAGGATCACTCAAGCCCAGGAGTTTGAGATCAGTCTGTATAACATAGAGAGGCCCCTGTCTCAACAACAACAACAAAAAATT